TTCACTTTTGTATTAACTCCAGATGACCCAGTGTCCCAGGCTTAACTTGCAGTGGGGGAACTGAAGGACTTTGAGACAGTTGATGTGACTTAAACTTCCAGAATGATCTCATAACATTTTAAGGTTTTTGGCAGGAAATCTGTCGCTACCTGGCTGCGGTGGGTGTAGGTTGTGTCCTTCCCGGTCTGGGTTTGCAGGCTCGTAACCACGACTGTACTCAGAACCCCACCTCTGGTTTCATTTAGCGGCTCTTCCTCCTGAGCATTGCCACAGATACTATTTCAGGAACTAGCCTTGCATCTGTGAACAGTCCCTGGGTTTACTTAGGAGCCCGTATGGAAAATCAAATTACAATATCAAGCACTGACCCTTATTTCTTCTTAACACACCCCCTGACTTTGAATAGTGCAGAAAACACCATATTTAAAGAGAAAAACACCATCTCGTTTCATTGGAAATTAAACGCTTATTAATGGTAGGAGTTATTCAAGGCCTACTGCCTTTTAAGTACTTTTGATCTGTGGGTTGGATAAAAGTTTAAGGCCTTTTGATATCAAAAGTCCAATTATCATCAGAATGTAGACACAGGGTTGTCACCCTTCCATATCACTGTCCCCTGGCATTAGTGTTGTTCCTTCATACTGGGGTGACTGTACCGTTTTAATTTAAGATACCTTACTAAAATATCCTCCTTTAATTTTCTAAAGCATTATATCTGGCTGCCTTTTTGAGAAAGCTGTACTTCCAATTTGCCCTTTTAAAGATTAAAAGTTTTCTGAGGCATTAAAAATGTCAGCTTTACATTTAAATAAGGCTTTAATGAAAAAGAAGAAATTAATGTATCTTTCAAAAGTCTGACATTAAACTTCTAGAGGGCAAAAACATGAGCAATGCTACACCTAATGTAAAAATAATAAAATCGTTGTTTGTTTAAGCAAATATGAGAAACAAAATTAGATTTTAAGAAATATATCTTAGTTCAGTATATAAAACCTGTGAGATTTGTAACAGTTAATTGTAAGAGAAATGAGCATTTTTTAAGTTTAAAGTCTTTGGTGACTAATCTTTAATGGGGTGTTAAATAGTTCTCCAGTCCTGCCATAAACCATATAGCCCAAGTTTCCAAGTATGCCACCCTATCCCCCCGATAGGCAAGGGGCAGTGTCACAGCTGTTCAGCCAGAAAACATGAAGTCAGAAGGTCACAACGGTGATCTTTGTACAGTCTCAGATATTTATTGTTTTTTTTTTTTTTTTCTGGTACTGGGAATCGAACTCATGACCTTGCACTTGCCAGGCAGGCACTGTGCCACTGAGCTAAATCCCCGCCCCCCCAGACTCAGATATTTATTATGGCTTAGGAATGGGCTGTTTGGTTTAATGATCAGGCCTACTGTGTCTTTTCAAAGCTTGATAGCTCAGTGTCATTGAGATGCTAATAGTGTTCCTGTTTGATACGGCCTGATTCTGGAGCTTGGTGGTAGTTGTCATACACCATTTAAATGAGAGTTTGGCATCATTTATTGTTTATCATCCTTATGTGACTATCATTTGGGCTTCCTTGTCAATGTACTCGGCAGAGAAACAAGTCCAGAAACCACTTTTAAACTCCATCTTTACCGTTACATCTCCTAGCTAAACTCCTTCCCCAAAGTCATATTGGATCTCAGTCTCTATATAGTTGGGACATTGTGGGTGGGGTCAAACATTAAACAAACTGGGACTTGTTTTTATGTGGTAGACACGCACACACCCTGTTTGAATACAAGTTCTCTGCTTACAAGGGAATGTGAACAGTCAATCTAGGCAGACACCATATGCATTGTCAGCATAATGAGAGATTTTTCAATGGCACTGGTGTACACCCTGTGTGAAACAAGCCAAGATTTCTAGTGGCTTGGGGCATATTAACCCTTGGATCTGAACTGGCTTAGCTTCATCCTCTGCTTATGGAAGGAAAGGGATGTGGGAAATATTTTAACCCACACCCATAAGGAAGTTATGGGAGAATGCCCATGTTACTGCCTCTGTTGGCCAGAGCTCACGCCTGTGCCCCATTGTGTCAGCCCCTACCGTTACACATATCCAGGAGAGCCCTCCATTGCCTGCAGAAGCTAGAACCTGGACTCTTCCTTTTAAATTCCTATCACGGTTGATTTTTCTTTTTTCTTTTGTGGTGCTGCTGGGGATTCACCCACATGCACATGAGCCCATACTCTACCATTGAGCCACACCCCAGGGCATTGTCTGGATTTGTGTGTTAGGGGAGGCTCGCTCTCAGAAGTCCTGACGGCACACTGAGTGCTGTACTGTGTTTTATGAGGGAGCTGGCTACACTCGGCAAGGTTGTGATCCCGAGCTTATTTACAGGGGAGGCTGTGCTCAGGTCAGTCAGTAGAGGCCCTTGGCTCTTCTTGAGAACTTTCAGGTAAGGAGAGGGGCTACACTCTCCGCAGGTGCCTTCCTGCAGGAGAAAATGACTGAATTATCTCTTGCAGCATCTTTAATTCTTTTCATTCCTTTTCTCTTCCTCTTTTCTCTGTACCGGGGAGACTACCATGACACTTTGTTTCTTGTAGACGCTATGTGTAAAGACTTTTTTTTGGTCAATAAGACATGCATATTGGTATACTTTCTTTTATTCTAGAGAACTTTTTACTATCGTTCACCTTTTACCATTGGGGTAAAAGGTGATTGAGTGATTGAGTGATTCATTTAATCAGTTGCCACTAAGTTGTGGCTACAGATGACTTGCATAGAGGCACGGAACTAGAATACAGGAATACTATGGTAGGATCTCCGCTCTCAGTGAGATCCAGTGGAAGCCATTTCTTTTGACCCTGTAGACCATGAAAGGGAAGATTGCATGGAATTGGAGTTAAACCTTCAATCCTGGATAGTGGGGAGACATATCCAGAAGGGGAGGGGAATATACACACCCTGTGTACATAGTGAATTTGGCTGGCCTTTTAAAAGAAATACAAACAGGAGAATACACTAAAAGGAGGAGTGAGAAACAAGGCCAGGGGCACACTGAGGCTGCCATATCCCTGACCTTCCAATCTTATCTACTTTTCGGAGTCATTTCAGTTTTGTAACTCATCTATTATGGACCTACCATGTAGAAAAGCTTACATTCTAGTCACCTTAAATCCCAGTATAGAGTCGACAGCCTTTTAGATATCCTGGGGTTGGGTAAGATGTAATTATGGGAAAAATTTTGTTACTATTACTTTCTTTAGACAAAATCTAACATGTGAGATCCTTTGACACTGTCCTAAGCAGGGGTTCCTGATTTAAAATCAGCATAAAATACACAGCTATCTGCAAACTCTAACTTGCGTTCCAGATCCTATGCATTGTAATAATAAACTAAGGGAATTTGTTGCCTTTACAAGGAAGAGGGATGGGGCAGTGCTTCAAGTGTTGCTGCTTGTTTACTCTGATATTAAAATTGTCAGTACCAGTGTGTTGTTTTCTTCTTCCAGTGAAGAAAACAGCTGAGGCTGGGTGAGCGGGCAGAATGGCCAGGGTAGGAAATGAGCTAGATCCGCCCCACAGGAGGAGTTCTGATAGCCCCAGAGTTTTGTGACACTATTGACTTAATAATGGCTCTGAAAGAAGTAAAAATAGCAACACTACCACAGGAAATGCTTTGTCCACCGTAGGAAGCAGCTCGTTTTCCAGTGCGTTAGCCAGGAGTGTAATCTGTCAGAATCATGACAAAGGCAAATTATGCTTCCGTCCTAAGGCCAAGGTCAAAGTCAGAGACTAAAGTAATCAGGCCAGATTACATGACCTGGGACATAGAAGTCGAAACATCAAGCCGAGGCTCCAGGATGGACTCAGAGATGAAGTGGGACTCGGGTCTGGACGTCGTTCAGAGCGGGCACCCTCTCCGGTGTTGCTTTTCTTTGCTAGTCCCGCTTGCTAGCTCTCATGTTCCTGAGAACAGTCTTAAGCCTTTGTGTGTGGGGGGGTCCCTTATTTTTATGCTTTTCACTTCTTAAGGTGTATTATTTCTGTTGAACTTTGAGTGAGATTAAATGAATGGCGTCTATGGTATATATGTGCTTTATACTAAACAAAAGCAATTTAAGACCACATACATTAAGAGTGATATTGTGATAAAATTAAGATTGGGTAATAAAGAACTTGTGTTTTACCTCCTAGGTAAGTAGATCTAGCATGCTAATTAGTACTTGGTAATGCGTAGTAAATTTTGGTTGAGTTAAATGGGATATTTGTAAAATTTAGAGAATTATCTTTAAACATAATTTGTGCATGCTGTTCTAAAGTCTGCTTAAGACATATGGTTTAAATGCTAAATTAGTATTTGTTTCAGTAGAGCCTTTTAGGAATTAATTAAGCTTAATATTTCAGATGCCATAGCTGATATTTTGATATTGCAGATATAAAACCCTTTCAGTGATATCTCCAAATCCATAAAATCTTCTTCCCATCCCTGACCAAAGGACTTAGAATTGATCAGGATAAAGTTAAAAGTATAGGCCCAAGGACCAAGTGAAGAACAGATACCACTCAAGTCTTTCTTTTATTTCTTTTTAGACACTTGGGAACAAAAATTGGGGAGGGAATGTGAGTATGTGGGAAGATTTTTCAGATACACACATAGCGATAGCATATAGAGTGGTTGTTTTCTGATTTAGTTTCATAAATTGCTACATGAAGAAGTACCCTCTAGTAGATAATACTCAGAAATCAGCACTTAATATGGCAGTAATGGTTATTGCTGTCATTCTTTACATCTTTAAAAATAATTAAGCATTACTGCATAGGCATTATAAAGTTCCCCTATCACCATTAGGAGGATATTTGAGGTTTGATGTAATTTAGCAAATTGCATTATACAGTAGTTAAGGTTTTTATGCAGGGAAGTAAAATACGTAGTAGTTAAGCACACTTACCATATAATGCACTGTATAGCACTCACGTTCCAGCTACCGCCAGCTTTCTTCCAGTGTCATTATTGCTTTGCAGGCTGACGTTCCTCAGGGAGTGATCCGCGTGCAAGCGCCCCATCTTTCCAAAGTTTCCATGGCAATACAGCTAACTGAAGAACTAAAAGCCAGTGATGTGCTTGCCAGATTTCTCAGCCAAGAAAGGTATCCGCCGGTTTTGTTTTCATTATTCTATGGGATAACTCACCTGCTCTCTCCTCTTTGTAAATTTTTCTCCTCCTCTCCTTTTTATTTTTTTAAACTCTGGATGATGTGAAGTCCTTAAAAATTTGTCTTCCCAGCAGAAGAGAAGAGATCCAACAGGCTGTTGGGATGCGTTTAGTTCACTGAAGTAGTCTGAGTTTAAGTGGAGTCTGTTTTCAGCAGACTGGGGTAGTCCCTTCCTTGGGGTAACAAAGGGCTGGGCATAGGAGACCACTTGGTCATCCTCCCAGAATATGTGGATTCGGAGAAGGACTTGTGTACAGGCTGTTAGGAAAATTATGAATGAGGACATAATGGGGTTAAAACAAAGACTGAATTTTTTGTATGAAATGTAATGAAAAAGATGTTCCACTTTAGTACCGGGTGTGGTGGCATGCACCTGTAATCCCAGCACTTGGGAGGCTGAGTCAGGAGGATCTTTTTTAGTTCGAGGCCAGCCTGGGCTACAGAGTGAGCTCCAGGCCAGCCTGAACTGCATAGCAAGACCCTGTCTCAAAAAAACAAAAGATTAAAAAAAAAAGTTCCACTTGAAAAACAGAAAGTATGAAGAATGGAGTGTCCTTATCTCTGACATCATAGGGGAGAACGAGCCAACCTCATCAGGGGCCCCCAATCCAACCCTGCAAGTCCGTTTTGGGGCCGATGCATCTGAGCATCTTTGAAGGCCCTTGGTGCTCCCTGTCACTGCCCTTCTGTGTGCACTTTCCAGTACATCTTTCCTTGAATTTTACAGGTCCTAATAAACATACGGGTCTTCAGTTTTGCACTGTAAATTCTTATTTGTGGCTGAAATAATATTTTAATGCCACTTCCCACTTCTACAAACTTTTTTACAAAGAAAAGCAGTCTGGAACAGGAGCACCTCACTTTCTGAATCATCTATTTTTTGTCTTTCTTTGAACTTAATCCCCTCATCCTAACATGGAGAAGCTTCAGTGAAGTTCTTTGTCAAAAGCATCTCGCATTTTTATACAAGTACCCCAGCTATTGAATCTGTTTCTGCTCCATGGAAGACCCTCCGGAAGGCGTAAGCAGTGTAAATTTTAAAGTGCCTTCCCTCAGGGTTTATAGATTGGAAGAAGGGCTGTCTCTCTCAGCTCATAGATGGCAGTAAAATGGGAAGCAGGCTTACTGCTAATAACCCGCATACAATTACCTTACAGTCACAAGGTACAAGTAAGCACAGTAGTCTTGCTTCTGTTCCACTGATAAGAAAACTAAGACCTGCCAGGCCACATCCTTCTTGTGTGTGGTGGAGCTGGAATTCTGAATCTGTGGTCTTGGATCACCTTTTACACTGGAAGCACAGGTTCTGGGGGTAGATGGGATTTTGTAGGGTTAAGTCCTGGGGCAGTTGAATGTGTCAGAGTGGAACCCTGGAAGCAGTCGGGATTTCTTGGACATCTTTGCTCCTCAAAGAATGTGTCAGCTTCAGTGAACTTGTCCCTGTCCTCTCTACTCCTGCCCCTGTTCAGTAGGTACCAACTTTTGCACGTCTTCTTTTTAGGGATGATGTCCCCTCCCCTCCCAGAATGTGGTCCTGAAGCCTATGTTAGACATGAGCAACTCTGTCAAGGTGGACATAGTTTTGATTTACACAGGATTTACTTCCGGGACCCTGTGCACCATTTGTCCCCCAGCCCCAGTTTGCTGATAAGCTATGACTCTGAAGTTGTAACAATGTATTCAACTCTGACTTTAATGTTTAGGGTACAGCATAAAACATTTGTTGTTATATTGTTATAGAAAGCACTAGCTTTGTGACCATTGCCCTCCTTCATATTGGGGCTTTCTGCTCATGGTGCTTTTATTAAGTATTTGCTACTCCTTGGAGCAGTATCCCTTCTTCTATCTCCCCTCTCTTCCATCTAAGAGAAGTCTGGCAAGCTTCCCTTTTCCTCCAATTCACAGGCTGTTTCCATATGCTTAGGATGCTAGAGACATATATGCTAGCTATATGCACTTCACCTTAGGCTAGTTTTTATCATTTAAGCCCCAGCGCTTCATTTGTAAGAGTGGACTATCACTGGGCCTTCCTTACAGTCCTGTGCTAGTGAACTTGGGAAATAACCATGAAGTTCATAGCACTGTCCCGGTCACATAGTAAGTGAATATTTAAACGTCTCTTTTCTTTCACCATATTCTTGTGCTTCTCATTTATATTGCATCTGCATTGGGGCAGCTGGAACTTTAGTTCCTTTCACCTTTATTCTTTTCCACTTTTTCATCTGAAGCCAAAGAGCCCATGAGTGATGGAAAATAAGTGCACTAAATTGCACATTACTCACTAGTCTTTGATAAAGGGTTTATGCCTTCTCAATACTAACGAATTTGTTGATTAGCATGATGCAAAAGCTTGCAGGCCCCAAAAGACCCAGTTCAGGTTTTTATGAAGTGGAATAAGAATACAAATACTTGAGAATCAATCTCAGAGCAACACTATATCTGCATAGATTCTTTAAATGAAGAGTTCATAACGTTCAGTTTGGTTTTTGATAGCTACATTGTCTGCCTATACTCACTTGTGTAGCATAAATAAAAAGTAATTATTACCTCATTTGACTTAAAGAAAATAAGCATCCCCGTGTGTGGAAATTGTCCTTACTGTCAGTAAGGACACAGTGCAGCAGGGCAGCTTCAGCATGAAGGCATTGCACACCTGAGTGCATGGGTGTGCAAAGGATGGGTGGGGTTTACGGAAATGGGACAGGCAGAGGAGCACCCGGGGGCCGGTGAGAGGAGCGGCTGCTGTACTGCTTGGGGGAGAGTTAGACCGCGTTTTCCCTTCTCAATTCCAGAGTGTGTCCGCAGCAGTCTACAAACTTCCCACACACCACCCTCCGCTGTAGAGCCTACCAAGACCAGGCACTCAGCGTTCACTCTAGAACTGCTGGAAGTTCTAGAGCTCCATTTCTGAATTTTTAGCAAGCCCCTCACGTAACTCTTCCACCAAAAAATTTGAAAATCACTGAATACTCCCATTCTCTATGTTTGAACCCGGTGTTCTAAAGAGTTCATTCTTTTTTCCTAGTGATTTTATTTTTTAAAAAAATTTTTACTGATACATAAAACTAAAAATATTCAGTTTTTGTGGCGTAGATTGCAGAATTTTAATACCCACCATGTAAAATCCAAATCGGTGTCAGTACATCTTTCCCCTCAGATACTCAGCACTTCTTTAAGGTAATGAGTTTGTTGTTTGAGGAGTATAAATTTATAATTGCAGCTTACTTGAAAGGATTACTTACACCTTGCCAAGCACGTGAGCCTGTCCCGTTAGAATGGCCAGCACGCGGAGGACGGGCGTCTTTGCGCCCACCTTGCACACGTGAGCATCGTCAGCACAGCTGCCCGAGACAAACGCTTCGTGCAGGGAGGCAGTGTGCAGAGTGGATAATCACATTAATAACGCCACTGGCCGTTAGTGTTGCATTAACTTTTCTTTTCAATTTTACAAATTTAGAGAGTGATTTACTATTTTGCCTTGAGATGCATGATTCCATTTGTTTATTTTAATTTACAGGTGTGACATTTTTATTACCTATTCGGCACATTTAACAGATGGGAAAATACAAATGCGTGGATAATTACAATGTGTCTAAGTTATGAATTTTCTGTAGCAGCCAGAATTCCCTGTGCATGTTTAAGTGATTTACTTGCATGTTATTTGATGACATGCTAATCAGTGTGTTTTGTCCTTCTTAGTGGGGTTGCCCAAACCCTAAAGAAAGGAGAAGTTTTTTTGTATGAAATTGGAGGAAATATTGGTAAGTCATTTTTTTTTCTCTCTGCATTTCAAGTGCTGATTTGACATTGCCATGGGCGGTTACTTATATCTTTGGTAGAAAAAATAATATAACATGCTTTTCAGACAGTCACTGAATATATGGATTTTTTTTTTGATGGCCTGACCTTTCTCTTCAGGGCTATTTGAGCTGGTTCTGTATAAATGCCATCTATAGTACATTCAACCTCAGGAAAGGCAGGTGCCCTAGAATAGCAATAATTTCTAGAATGGTCAAGATGGCAGTGGCTAAAAACTTCTTTTGTTTTTGTCCTGTTGTGTCACAGCATACTGGAGGAAGTAGTTGAGGTAATTTAAGATACGATAACACTTTCTTTAAGAAATAATAACTAGATACTGTATTTTTCGTAAAAGTAAGAATTATGCATTACGGTTATTTCCTACATTTTAGGAATATACACACATTCATAATTCAGGAAATAAGACAGACGAATTCATTTTGACTATATTCTATATTTTCCCCTTTTGTAATTACCATGGGTCTTATTCATGTTTTTTAAAAAATTTAAAGTAACCATCTTTTCTTGACTCTTGCAAATGGTTAAGGGTGACATTATTAAGAAATAAACGAAATGATATTTAATCCCAAATCGTCATTGAAAATAATTTGCAGAAGTGTTGTGGAATTTTTTTGTGGAACTTAAAAATGTTGGTAAGTACTTAAAGCTGAATACAGGAGAGTGAGGATCTGCTTCTTTGCAGAGATGCGGTTTTGCTGTGTTGCTCAGGCTGGCCTTGAACTTGCCGTTTCCCTCTTTGTCCTCCCGAGCTTTGCTACCCAGCTCATTTTTGAAAGCTAAATAAGCCATAACTCCAGGAGAAATCTGGAATTGTTAAATTAATTAGTAAAGGTTTATTAATATATTTGATTTCATTTTATTATCAGATCTTGGGAATGAATGTGCTTTCCTAGGTGAATTCACAACTGTTGTCATTCTTAATAAAGGAGAATAACATTATAAATAAGCATTAAAAATCCATACAAGGAATCTTCAGCTTCTTAATTTGAAACCTATGTAGAGAAAGATTATCAAGTGCACTTTCCCAGTATTTTGGCCAAGTCTTCAAATATTGTTCTGGGAATCGGGAAAGGGCAGGACATATTTTGAAGTCTAAGATTTAAGAGTGAAACTGTTAGGCTTCCGTTTGAAGTCACACCCTTGTCTGCCCGCTGTGTTAAACTGACAGCACTTCTCTTCTGCAGGGGAGCGCTGCCTCGACGAGGACACTTACATGCAGGACTTATACCAGCTCAACCCGAACGCCGAATGGGTCATAAAGTCAAAGCTGTCGTAGAAGACAGCAGCGCAGATAACTGCAAAGACTTCTGAAATAATTCTTGCTGGGTCGAGAGTGTAAATAAAAGAAATGGCGGGACTCTTACTATTCAACTCTACCCAACTATTAAAAAGTGACACCTCAAGCCTTAAAAATGTACACCCGTGGGCTGCTGCCAGAACTATGTTAATAAATTGATAGTAGAAAACAAATTTCTCGATAGGAAAGGGGCTTCCTTAGCTTGGGACTGTTTTCGTATACTCTGTAAAATGCACCCAGTTGTGACAGTTGTTTTCTAATATGAAAGTATATTTTCTACCCACTTTTTTTCTCCCCAAGTCAAATATTCTGTAGCATATCCTTTTGTACCTCTTCAGATCTGTCTTTCCTCAACATGGCTGGCTTTTTAATCCAAAAAAGCTAACAGATACAAGGTTTGTCAAGTTATGAAGCCAGCAGATGTTAAAATAGACCTAATTGTGAAGTATTTATGTCATTGTAGAGTGTTGGTATTCATGTCTTTGGGTCATTTATCCAAATAACACCTTGCTTCTGTATCATAGGTGATGATTTGCATTTTTTCAGTTCATCTGACATATTTGCACAGAGCTATATCCAAGACCAAGGAAATAAACCACCAGAAACTGCCAATTATCACCAAACCATTAAATTCTTAAATACTATGAATAAATAAAACACACCCATGTGGAATAACTGAAAATACCAATAACCAGAGAGTGAAAGCCAAATTATTTCACGCAGGGTGCACTCTTGCAAAGCTTATTTAAACAGTCCTAGCTGGCTGTCGTCCTTGTCATATCAGCATCAGAATATAATCTGGTAATGGCTGGAGAATATATTAAAGCAGGGTTTTTAAATATTTTTGTCCTAAACAAGTCTACTGGCAGAGTTAATCTGGGTATAAATAGTCATGTGAACAAGCTTTGGTTTGTGTACTTATTTTAAATAGTCCGTACACTTATTAAACTGTTGAAAGAACTATTCCCAGGGGTTTTAATGGCTAAACCACGCCGTGACAAGAGGTAAGCCTCTGTACTGTAAATAAGAGAAATGTTAAATATTTTATGAGGTTAGAGTACAGTAAATAAAAGGTGATGTAAATGAATGCCGTGCCAACTGTGTTTATGATACTTTTAGTAGTTCTTCGGGAAAAATTACATTCTCAGAAGCTCTTGCTGTCAGTCTAATTAGTAGTCAAAATGCCGTTAATGGGAACAGTCATAAATTTTTAGCATTTAATTACAAGAGCAGCCTATGGATATGATCACTTCAATAACTTGTTGGTGATTTGTGCCATTGCTTTTTTATTTAATGACATTTTATAATTAAATACTTTTTTCTAAATTTATGGAATTATTATTTTTAATCCTGTGTGTTGATGAGTCTACTTTCTTAATATTTCTAATTGACAAAGGAAGTATGTTATCATAAGCCATATTTACTTCTATTGTCCCTGTTTCACCCTAAGATTTAATTTGAAAGGTATGTGAGAGAAACTTCCTTCCCTGAGGGCTTTCCTGGTATAGATTTCTATTTTTTAGGGCTTTCCAAACTGTGTTCTGTTTCTCATTTTAACAATATGTATTTTCTTTTTTAGCAGAACTTTTATTGATGGTTTGATGAAAAGAATATAAAAGTTTAAAAAAAATGTTAGGGCTGAGCGACTCCAGGAGTGAATGTAATGGTTTAAATAAATGACTTTCTAAAGCATATACCATCTAATTTTCACCATCCTTACACCTAGCCAGGGACTGGGGCAGACAACACAAGAAGTTTTTGATGCTAAAAGTTAGAAAAATGAAGATGCCATTTTGAATTCTTTCCCGAGCTCATAACCAAAGATTTTGCATTGAACAACATTGCATTTAAATTAAAAAAAAAAACACACAAACCTTCTAGATGGAGCCATTTGATAGTACTGAGCCTTGTATGTAAATGTTCTGGTATTAACATAAATATTTTTACTGTGTTGTTTTTTGTTTTTTCCCCAGCAAGTTTTAGATCTTAGTGAACATTTGTTGTTATTTAAATGAGGTGGAAAAATAACATATTTGCTTTGACTCTTGAATCTTTTAACTCTTACAGGAGTTGCTGGTAAAAGTGGCAGAGCTGTCATTGTAGCTGTCATTGTCTTTACAACTGTCATTTGTAAAGAAGACTGAGGCCTGTTAGTATTTTGGCCGTGCTTTTCTGAAGGAGGTCACTGTAATTCTTTTGCACTTACACAGTCTGTGTATGATGCTGCTGTAGAATTCAGTGTAAACTCCTGATTGGTTCTCTGGGAAAAGCAGTTTACTTTGCTAACATCATGGGAGTTTTCACTATTGTCTCTTGCTAAGCCTTTTTTTTTTAAACTGGTTGACACCGATTGTCCTGATTTCTCACCTTCGTATCGGCAGGTGGCAGTGTTGGTCAGGGATTCCCTTTGACTGTAAAATACAGGAAGTTTTTAAAGGAACCTGAGTTCCTAGGTGTAAGTGGCTGACACTCTGTGGCTCTCTTGCTCCGAAGGTGCAATAATTATGCCAGCTTGTACATTCAGTGTACATTATTGGTCTGCTTTTCTCCTTAACCTTTTGAGGGAGGAGAGGTTTATCTGACCCAGGCTTAGATCTTTGGCAATGTCCATTTCAAGCAGAAGGACTGTGATAAGAGGCAGGGCAGCGAAGCAGTGAAGTAATAGGAGGGGAGCCTGAGATAAGGGAGCCTGGCGGCCTTGTCTTTATAGAGCGTATGCGTTTACTGGACGCCCACACGGGCAATCACGTCCTTCCCTCAGTGAGTAAGAGGAAGCTGATCCCGTAGGCTCACATGTCGGTGGAGGAAGACAAAGTATAAAGAATCGCAGCGTTTGTTGAAGCACGCTAAATGCCATGGAGACAAAGATGAGCAAAGTAAGCGGGATGGGGGTGGGGGATGGGCTCATGATGGAGTTCAACAAGGAGCCTTAGTTGTTAAATTATTTTTATTCTTATTTGCAGTACACAAGGATTACATTCCTTGTGGAAAGTTGGTACATGGACCTAACGCATCTTCATTCTGTATTCTTCCCTTCCGCTCCCTCCAAGTCTTGGTCACGAGGAGTCTTGATGAATAGCTAATAGCTTGCTAAAGGCTCAGATGACGTGAGAAACTTGTTATTTGATGATCTGGAAGAAGATGGCAGGGACATCTAAGACCAAGATCATAAGCAAGAGTGTGTCTTGCTTCTCAAAGGTTGTCTAGGATACCAACATTGCAGGACCCCGTGAACCTAAGAGATGAGGTCTCAGAGAAAATGCCTGGGTCAGGGCTAAGATCAGAAGGGTCTTAGATCAGGGCAGTGATGCATTTAGTGTTCAAAATGGGGCACGGTTGGGAGGTTAATCGCTGAAACGCCAAGAAGGGGCCCTCGCTCCATGTGGCGAAGGTAGAGCCTATAGGTTTCTGGTATGAAAGGGAATGTATCCTGTGATTCATTCATTTGTTTTTTGAGACAGGGTCTCACTTCATAGTTTCATCATGGGTGTAGTAAATTTGAGGTGCCTGTTTGACACCCAATTGACAATGTTTTACAGCAGGTAGAGGAGCATTCATTTGGGGGAGAGGGCTGGGTTGGTGTCAGCACTGTGCATGCGGGATTTCCACGTTAGCAGGAGCGTGGAAGAGAGAGAGATCACTAAGGGGATGAACGTGGATATACAACAAATTTCCAAGAACCGAGCTCTGGAGCTGCCCATCACTGCAGCTAGGAAGAGAAGGAACCAGCAAAGAGACCGGAAAGATGCAACTTTGAGGTGACCAAGAACTTGTGAATCAGAAGCAAAGGGAAGAAGGGGCTCTGAAAAGAGGATGCTTGCAGCGTCAGAGGTCAAAGGAGGTGCAGGCTGAGAGCTAAGCACTGGGTTTATCCATGTGGAGGCCATTGTGGACCTCGCAGAGCACTCGAACAGAAGGTTCGGCACAGACAGCTCTGAGGAGTCTGCTGTTACTCAGACTCTAGCTCATGAAGAAGTAGGAGGCGCTGTCCAGAGCATTTTAAGTGCTGGAATAGAGAATTTGGCGTCTGCGTGGGTTAATATTTTGATAAATGGTGACATGGATACCAGAGCCACTGCAGTTGGATTAACCAATGTGACCTTGGACAAGTTTCTTACCTGCGACTCAGTTTTACTTTGTATGAGGTGGGGATATTTACTTTTGAGCCTCTTACTAAAATAATTTGTGGAAAGACTTCAGCAGCCTAATTGCCTGATAGCAAGTATTCGATGGAAGGACTTGTATTAGTGTTTATTATCAGTGTTACCAGAGCTGCACCATAAGAATTATCTGCAAATATTTTATTGAATCACGTTCTCCTCAGCACAGAGGAGAGATGTAGTAGACGTATTAGTGACATCAGAAGAAACACGTGGGATAGGGGACACCCCAGCTCTACAGAGAACAGCAGGCCCCTCCCCTTGGGATAGACTCTGTCTCCAGGATAGGAGTCACTTCTTGGGAATTTAAGGAATGATTTTGAATGTCCTTTGAGTCACCTCACTGCCGCACTATTTCTTCTGGAAATTAGTGGCTGTACCTCTTCCTTGGAGGATCTGTGAGGGTAATGAGGTCAGAAATAATTCCGGAGTTTTCAGGTAAAGGCTGCTAGCAGGACAGAGTCCTTTCCCTGTCAGGCCAGGAAGGAGACAAAGCCCTGCACAGTTTTCTATATGCATCATGCCTGAGAGGCTTCTGGGCACCTGGTGTGAGGCACGCCTTCAAAAAAAGACCCCGCTCCATTTTCCTGGTTTTTCTGTTGTTTCCCAGATTTCATGAATAGTGGCTATTAAATTCATATAATTGTCCTTCTATTACCTTTATGTCTTAGATTCTGTACTTGGCATCTGTTTCTCTGTCCTCTTGTGATCTAAAGTGTTACCATGGAACTCTGACAGCCATATCTCTCCATATAAACGTTTCTTAAACTCCTTCACTTTTAAGGGTTTCTTGAGTTATATTTTACATACGGTTACGTAGTGTATTAAGAAACTAGTTGGTTAAAGAATAGACATTTCTTTGGCATCTGTACCAAAAGCCCAGATATGCCAGCTTTGTCACAGAAAGCCTTTTATCTTGAGGTTTCAAGTCTTGATTTCTCAACCAAAGAAGCTCAGATAAGCTTCAGTGAAAGTAGCTCCCCTCTCCGTTGTTTTTACCCTTTTTTTGATGTTCACCCCTGCTGTACCCCTCAGCTGTATGTCTTGTTGCATGTCTTGTGGCCTTTACAAAATGACAGCTTTCATGCAGTGCCTTGGGTTACCTTCCTCTCCGGCCAAGACTGAAGCATAGCAGACAGTTTCCCTGGAGAAGCTTTTAAGGAAAGCCGCAGTAGCCCAATTCTGAGTGGCTCATCAGTGAAAGTGTTTTCTCTTTTACTGGACTGTAGCCTTGTTCCGGATATGAAAAGGAAGCAATTTAATCATTACCTGTGCCTTTACAACTTATTTCAGTGGGAGAAATCTTGGGGCATTGTAATTTTGGTTGCTTCGATTGTCCACTTTTTATTTGACAAAAATTCCACTGAGAATATGAAGTAATTATTTAGAGATTATGCATCTCCTTTGTCCAATACTTTGGAGACATGTTCTAGGACATACTTCATCCTCACACTTATCTTTGCGTTAAGGAGGAATAATAAGTTGTATTTATATGTTGTTGCTAGGGATTGAGTCCAGAATCTTTCACATATTAAAACTACCATTGAGCTATACAATCTGCACCGCATGCTTTATTCTTAAGGAATTATTATGCATGACCAGATAATAACTTAAGGTATTATGTAAATTCATTTCCAAATATTTGATTCTTGCTCTGTGCTACACCATGGTTTGTGTTAGAGGTGACAGAAAGAATCAGTTGTACAAAGATTAGATTGGATAGGACTCATAATCTGGTGTTAAGGAATGTGTTCTCAGCAAATGGACTGTGATCTGAGGGAGGCAGATAGAGATGCTGCTACAGGAAGAATAAAACACATCAGGAGCACAGAGAAGGGTGCTATTCATTGGGTGGTAACAGAACCTGTGGTCTTGAAGCCAGAAGCACAGAATACAAAAGACTGGACCAGGTCAGATTCTGAAGTGCAGATTCAACCCGCAGCAGTGACAAGCGAGCCTGCTCGTCTGTGGCTGCACAACTGGAGTCAAGAGGGTTTGCGCCTCCCTGCGGCCTCTCCTCTTGGAGAGGCAAGAGAGGGAGGTGTGAATGGTCCTCTGAGCTGGTGACGCTGCTTTTCAACAAGTGCCGGAATAGAGGGCTGTGCTGGCGTGGGATGACGGGACTGTGGCACAGGCTGGGGAAAGGGGGGAACATAATGTGTTGAGTCTGAGATGCATGAGGATGAATGGTTAGAAATGGGATGTTTAAGTTAAATTGAAGAAGTACAGTGGTACCTCAGTTCATAAACTTGATTCTTTCCACCATTCTGGTTCTAAACCAAGTTGGACAAGAACCAAATCCAATTCAATGGTTTAGGTTCAATGTTGACCTTATGGGGAAATTTGATTCAGTTCTCAACCAGTTCAGTTTATGACCAGAATCATGTAGAGAAGTGAGTTCATGAACTGAGGCACCAATTGATGTATTTAGGAAATACTTGTGGAGAAGTAACAAAGCCTAATAAATAAATAAGATGGTCCATTGAGAGCAGGGGAGGCACAAGAAGCTAAGAACCACCTTAAGAGATGCTTCA